ATATATATATATATATATATATATATATATATATATATATATATATATACATTATTTCAGACCAAACAAGTTATGAAATTCCACTAAAATGTAAATTAGCAAGGTGCAAACATTTTAATTGATTTAAAAAAAATGTAATGTGTTGTTTGTTGACACATATTGTCTTGCATATCATAGTTTCATGTATTCAGTGAATATATGACATTAGACTAACATTACACATACATTTATTAAAATATGTCTTGCCAGGGGAAGATAAGCTCCCTCAGCTTTCAATCCATCTTATGTTTTTTTTGTATCCCACTGTTGCTTTTGATTTATTCACTGAAGGATCAAAAGCATGATTTCTTTAAAGCTGCATTGAAACATTATTTGTACAGTGCTTTTTAAAGTTGACTTGAATGGACTTGACATTTGTTCACATGTTCTGTACTATCTGAACATTTTAAATGCTGTGTGCTCAAATAGAATTGAAATGTTACAACAGGCTGATGCCTTAATGCGTTTGATTGTAATAAGGCCAAACATCATGTCGGCGCAACTATAAAGCGGTACTAAACTCTAGTGTAAATGCAAACCGAACCAAACCGAACCGAGCCGTGCCGAGCCGAGTCGTACCTGCTGTTGCTATTTGTGTCAATAATGTAAATTAAACATAAATCACTCACTGTCCTTGACCGAATCGCTTTTGTAACATAATGTATATTGAATTTATGCAGTGAAGACTACACTGTAAAATCCAATAGTTTACCTTACTTAGATTTAATTAGTTATCTTTACTTAGTTGTTATACTTACTAGGTTTTATTAAGTTACAGCTACTTTCAAGGCAAATAAAACAATTGACTTACTGTTTTGAGTGACACTTACTTAAAATATTCAAGTAGCCACAAAGGAACCAATGACTTTTGGGGTTCTTAATGACTCTTGCAATGTGCTTCGTGTATTTCAGAGTGAAACAGAATATCCAGTGGGAAATAATGTAGGATGGAGCTTTGTTTTATCCATTGAGATTTGATTGGATCGTGTTGAATTATGATATTATTAGGCTTTTGAATGCTTAAAGTATTCAGCTTTAGCACGCAACCCTTCCTGCACCAGTCGCACTATGAATGACTTCTCGAATCATGCAGCTTTTCTGAGCGATCAGAGAAACAATAAAAAGTCAAACAGCATCTGAACTCTTAAGCTTTAGGTGGGAGAACTTGCACAATTGGTGGCTGACTAAATACTTTTTTTCCCCCACTGTATATCATTATTGTGATGGGGGGCCCTGCAGTTAGTCATAGCCCCGGGGGCCGGTGAGGTCTTAATGCGGCCCTGCAAACATGCTGTCAGTTTTTATATAAATAAGGCTCAATTTGACCCCTAATCAATTAACATGTTAACATATAGAACCTTACTGGACCAATAGTAAAGAATGGATATTAAAGGAATAATTCACCCAAAAATGGAAATTCGCTCAAAATGTACTCACCCTCAGGCCATCCAAGATGTAGATGAGTTTGTTTCTTCATCAGAACAAATTTGGAGAAATTTAGCATTACATTACTTGCTCCCCAATGGATCCTCTGCAGTAAATGGGGCAAGTCTGAATGAGACTCCAAACAGCCAATACAAAACATCACATGTAATCCACATGACTACAGTCCATCAATTAACATCTTGTGAAGTGTAATGCTGTGTGTTTGTAAGAAACAAATCCATCATTAAAGGAATAGTTCACCCAAAAATAAGAATTCTGTCATAACATACATACCCTGTTGTTCCAAAACTTTGAGTTTCTGCTGAACACAGAAGACGATATTTTGAAGAATGTTGGTAACCTAGTTGCTGGTTGTCACTTACTTCCATAGTATAGAGAAGAAAAAAATACTATGGAAGTCAATGGTTACCAGCAACTCTTTGGTTACCAAAATTCCAACATGAGGGTGAATAAATGATGTAAAAATGTTAATTTTAGGGTGAATTATTCCTTTAAGGGGTTTTAACTTTAAACACTGTAGCCTCTGACCAAAATATGAGCACTCTGTTGTCCTTCTCACTTAACTTTTTCAATGGCGAAAGCAGAAAGCAAGGATATTGGACTCATATTTTAGCTAGAAGCAACAGTTTGAGGTTAAAAATGTCTTTATGATAGATTTGTTTTTTTACACACACACCCAGCTTTTCACTTCATAAGATGTTAATTGATGGACTGTAGTCACATGGATTACTTGTGGATTATTGTGATGCTTTTATCAGCTGTTTGAACTCTCATTCTGACGGTACCCATTCATTACAGAGCAAGTGACGCAATGCTAAATTTCTCCAAATTCGTTCCTATGAAGAAACAATTTGGATGTCCTGAGGGTGAGTCAATTATCAGCAAATTTTCATTTTGGGGTCAATTATTGCTTTAAGACTGATTAAAGGTCAGATGACCTTGATTTTTTATTTTTTTTTTGAAGGAGGTCATTAATTCTAAAGAAGCAAATGTATTAAGTGAAACACAGCCCTATGGAAAGTTGTGACCCAATTGAATGGCATTCTCAAATGACACCGGACCCTCCAGAAACTACAACAACAAGTAGCAGAGGAACTGTTAATTGCCTTGCACAGTGTCCTTTTTAATACACATTGATTTTTATTTCCTTCACTGCTGCATTAGGCTACATCTGTCTTCGGTGGTCTGCATTCAAATTTCAATTTCAATATCTCCTCAATTGTTCTGTAATAATATTAACCTGGCCCAACACTAAAGAAGGTGCCTGTTATGAGCCACATAAGCCCACAACCCATCAACAACAGACACATGTCCATCGTGGCGGCACTAGATAAGCAAACAAAAACAGCCAGTGGGATCAATACAAAAATATTAAATTTAAAGTTGGAAACATGCCATTTAGACTTCAGAGCAAACACAATTTACTAACAGACAGAGCTGTAAATTGCATTAGTGCAAATATGGCACGACAGCAGTGTAGTGTTGGGTCGCCTGACATGCATATCTGCATTTTAATAAAAAACTGATGCTCTGTGAAACAACTAGGGAAAAAACCCTAATTTGATGTGGATTGGATATATAGCAGGAACATTAATACTTTAATAACTTAATTTATTTTAATGGGCTAATTATCTAGTCGCATTCCGCTTCATTAAGAGGTTTTACTCTTGAATGAAGTTTGACTTGATTGAGTAAGTTGCTTCACAATAGATTTTAACTATAACCATACTTAACCATACTGTTTTGAAAATGCTCTCAATATGTCTATACACTACACTGATGCTGATAAATCACTGTGTGAAGGGAAAGAAGTTTAATGGCAGGAAAGCAATATGGTCTGCTATGCAGAGATGTCCCCAAGAAGAGAGTGAATGCTTGAAATTGAGAACAGCTAGAGAAGTGTATCTCCAAAACTGTATGGAGGAGTATAAAAGATAAAGATGGACATGCAGATACCTCTCCATCACTGTCACTCACACACAAACAGTCTCTCACACAAAGGCACACACATAAATGGAAAACACAGCAAAATATGCTAAACAAAAGATTTAACTTTCTATAATTAGTCTTGCAGTTTTTGTTTTGTAAGGCTTTTTCCCAGTAATTATCTGCACAAGCTGAATCTTTGGAAACTTTGCCAAAGCTCAGTAAACTGGGAGTGTTAGCACATATTTTGCAATATACAGATGTGAGCAACTATATGGTATTTTATTGGTAATGTTCAAGCCTGAGAGGTCCACATACTCTGGAGCCTCCAGCGTTCTTCAAGCTGGTTCACTGAACTCCATTATAAGTGGATCAGTGGAAAGTCTCACGGTCAAGCAAGGGAAAATGCAACCACTTCTGTTTTCTGTGAGTGCACATGTACTTTTTACTTTCTCATCTTTTAAAGTAAAAAAAAAAATTATATATATATATACTATTAAAAAAGTTTGTCCTCTGAAAGACCAAATGTGCATTTAAAACCAGCAGCGGAACGTGTTTTGAAATTGTTTTTAATAGTCAAGGGAGTGATTGGAGCACAAGACCCATGAACATATGGGACATAATTTGTGGGCATCATTATGAAATTTCAATATGGCACACAAACC